CTCTGTAAGAAATAGATTTTAAACAAAAATCTAATGCCGTAGGAAGGCAGAGCATTAAACCAACCACTTCTGATGGATCCTGTGGTTCTGCGAAGGTCAATATGCAAGGTTTGGGGGGCAGGTTGTTTTTTGGGTTTATTTGGTAATAACCCAGGGTTATTTCGGTGATTGCTGTGCATGCTGAACACTGAAAGCCAGCAATTGTTCTGTGCTGACTGTTTGGTTTCTGTGCATTTGTTTCAAATCGTGAGAAAACTGATACGAGCAAGAAAGACAGGAGAAGGAAAGAAAGAGGTCAAATAATGGCTGTCTCCCGCAGAGCGGCATCAGGCTCAACAGTGACACGCAGACATTTCTCAGAAGTTTGGTGCTTTAAGTAGCAGGAGTTTGCTCACCTCTCAAAGCCTGCAAGGGTGTGTGAAGAGGGAGTGAACAGGAGTCTCTCTAGTCATGAGCCAGCTTCTCTGCTGACAGTAGCGACCCGGAAAGTTCAAACTCCTGGTGTCGTGCAAACAGTAGCCCTGGCAGTTTAAATAATCAGCCCCACACGAAACTGAAAAAAGTCTTCAGAGTTAAGATGCTGATAACATTCCCTGGAACCCAATCAACATTACTGGTTATTCTTTTCTTTATCTTATTTACTTCGTCTCTTCCTTTAGGAAAAAGAAAATTAGCCTTAATGGTACCTTGAGTAAACTACATTGAATTACATTGAAAAGCATTTCCTAATGAAGAAAAGGGAGAGCCAAGTAGATGCATTTTTCTTTTTTCCTCTAATGTGACCTTCCTTAGAGAGTTAAAGGTGCAGAAAAAGCCTACATTTTTTTTTTTTCCTGCCACAGTTTATTATCGATTCAGGGAGTGCATATGTAAACACGGAGAAATGGGATGGTGTAGAAAACCCGACTTTCAGACAGGTCTGACCAGCAGGAGCACGCTATCTTTACCCCATCTCCCTTCAGTAAGACACAAAACACACCACTCTGAAAAACCTGCACCCAGACAATTCCTTATTCAAAAATGACCTTTTAAAACCTGTCATCCTCTCACTGCCTGGTTTCCAGCTCCAGAAGGAAAAGAAGTAAAGAAGAAGAAGAAAAAAAAATTGACAGACAAATACAGAACTTGACAAAGGAGACAAGGATGCAATGTTTGAATTGGATACTTTGTGGTGGACGACAAGTGTCCTTAGAGACTAACAATTTGTCTTGAGAAACAGCAGAAAATGGGAGAAATGGTAAAAGGGGGTTTTTCTCACACACAGAAAGTGAGCTCGAGGAACGGGGTTGTATTCATGAATCAGGACCAGAATACAAGTTGCCTTTTCTTCAAGTCTTAAAATGAAAACACCAATTGTAGCTATGGCCAGTTGATGTGGAAAGTTTTTAGGGCTTTGTTTAGGGCAGTCAAGCCAAACTATAAAAAAGTTTTTAGGGCTTTGTTTAGGTCGGTCAAGCCAAACTATAGATGTGATATTAAAAGTTTCAAGTCACATATAAAAGGAAAAAAACAGACCAGGGAGACTTCAAGCCAACTGGATGGAAATGTCTAGCTCACATTTGCTCAGTGAGCAACACCCCACATGAAATCAAGATGCTTTATCCACTGCAGTGGTTCTCAAGGTGTAACCCAGGACTCTGGGGAGTCCGTGAGATCCTTTCTGGGGAGACTCCATGAGGTCAGCACTGCTTTGATAAGAATATGGACACATTCGCTTTTTTCACCTTGTTGATATTTGCACTGGTGGGTAAAATCACTTTTGTCGGAATAAAGGGAGCATCACATACAGTTCAAAACAAAAAAAAGCCAGTTTCATTCAAGATGAAACAGTAAGATGACTAATTGTATTAAATCCTGACCCTTGAACACACATCTTTTCTTTCTAATTTTGTTATATGAGAGAGGAGGTACATGTAGAGCTCTTTGTTGCCCACGGAGGTTGGATGATAGTCGAGGAACAGCACTTGTGTGACTGAGTCGCAAGCTCCACTAGACACTGCTTTTGGCTCATGGGACACTAGTTTTACTTGAACGAATTATTTGGACTTGGGTATTTGGCAGACATTTCTTAAGGGATAAATGAAATGAGATTGTCATTTCAAGGAAAACAGCTGACAATATTTGTTGTATTTGTTGCCAATGATAGAAATCTAGCTTCCAAGCTAAACTCAGAATTTTGGAAAACTTATATCGCCACAATGAACTTGACAGCTTCCCAATATGTAAAACCTTTCAACGACATTGATGTTGATATTAACAAATGTTATTCTTTATACTGAAAAATGAAATGTGTCCACATTTAGCATATTTGCATAATTCAGTGAACCAATATTTCTCAAATGACCAAATAAAATGCTACAGAATCATACATCAGCAAAAAAAATTTCCAAGTGCAAGATGACCATTGGATTTTAACAGAGTATGAAAGCTCATTGATGGGGTTTCAGATTACTTATGACAACTAATCTTTAAGAAGTCACCACTTGTCAAGTTTTGGCATAGTATCAAAGGAAATCTACAAGTGTCTGAAAAAGCCATCAAAATACTTTTCCTTTTCCAACTACTTATCCATATGAGGCTGAATTTGATTACTTTATTTCAACCAAACAATATACTTCAACAGATTAAATGCAGAAATAGAAGAATCCAGCTCTCTTCTATTCAGATAAATATGTGTAAAAATGTAAAACGATGTTGGGGCACCTGGGTGGCTTTAGTTGGTTAAGCATCTACCTTCAGCTCAGGTCATGATCCTGGGGTCCTGGGATGGAGCCCTGCATTGGGCACCTTGCTCAGCTGGGAGCTTGCTTCTCCCTCTGTCCCTCCACCCCCTCCCCCCACTTGTGTGCTCTCTCTCTCTCTCTGTCAAATAAATAAATGAAATCTTTTTTTAAAAGATTTTATTATTATTTATTTATTTGACAGAGAGAGAGACACACCGAGAGAGGAACACAAGCAGAGGGAGTGGGCGAGGGAGAAGCAGGCTTCCTGCCGAGCAGGGAGCACGACGCAGAGCTTGATCCCAGGACCCCGGGATCATGACCTGAGCCAAAGCAGATGCTTAACAATTGAGCCACACAGGCGCCCCTAAAATCTTTTTAAAAAATGTAAAACAATGCCACTTTAGTTACCAATACTTTTTTGGTTTGGAAAATATAGTTATTTTTCACAAAATATATAATTTAACATGTAATAATTATTGTTATTTTCAAAATAATTTAAAAATATTTTAAAAATCCCTCGGTTGTAATATCCTTTTTTTAAAGATTTTATTTATTTGAGAGAGAGTCCTAGAGGGGAGAAGGGCAGAAGGACAAGCAGATGCCCCACTGAGCAGGGAGTCCCAAGCGGGGCTCAATCCCAGGACCCCAAGACCAGGACCTGAGCTGAAGTCAAAAGCTTGACCCATTGAGCCACCCAGGCGCCCCCCCATTGTAATTTCTAATTATCAGTAGCTACAATCTACATAAACAAAAGCTTAATAATATAAAAGGATCCTGAGCCCCAGAGGTTTGAGAATTGCTGGGCTAGTGTATACCCGGCACCATAGTTAAG